TCTAAATTTAAAATTTAATCTTTTGATTAATCTCTTTGAATAGAATATTTTAATTTTGACTTCTTGTACAATTGTCTTTATTAAATTATTCTCAAATAAGTAAAGTTTTCAATTTCATTATTAGATAACATCAAAATCCCTTTTAATAGGAAACAAGTAATCAACATTTTTTATATCATGTTTTTCATTTATTCTTCGTTTTTCAATCTCTTAATAGAGTTTTCGAAATCCTTCTTAATAGCACCTTTAGATTCCTTCTTAATAGGATTTTTCAAAATCCCTCTTCATAATGTTTTCAATTTATTTCTTGTTAATGAAAAATCTTCAAAGAACTTAATCGTTGAAATTTATTTCAAAGGTTTTTTCTTCTAATGCATGTTAAAAGCCTTAAGAAGATAGGCATGCATTGAGGAGTTCTTTTAAGATTAGAATTTCTCTGTCAACAATTTCTTTGCAATTTTGAATAAGAATCTTAATTATTCTTATTTGACAAGTAACATGAATGCTTTAATCCTATTCATCATAACAATAAATATTTTTATTTAATTAATATTTTATTAAGAAATTAATATTTATTAGTTGAACCTGTAAAAAATTAAATGAAAAATTATTTTAAAATTATATCGTTTTAATAAAGTATTATAAAAAAAGACTAAAACATCTTCATTCTTATTTTAACAATAATTAGGATGTTTTAGTTTTTTAATAAGATTTTATTAAAATAATATAGTTTTGAAAGTTTTTTTACTTAATTTTTGTAATACAAGTTGATACTCACTTTTTTTACTATATTCTTTTTTAAAAGATAAGACATTTCTTTTAGGTATCTTAAATTGTAATTAAGACACGTGTTGTTTTATAATTGATCTAAAAACATCATCAAATAATATCAATATATCAAAAATAATATTATTTTTTAATACCTAAATTAACATGTGATATTCTTTAATTAGTTAATAATTTTTTCATGTCTACACATGCTTTTCTTGTCTTTGTTAAATTAATATAATCCTACTTTAACACCTGCATAGCATTGTCCACTGTCTAGTAAACTCTCGTACTAAATACTAAATAAAGGAATAATAATATGTCCAGAAAATGATCGGCTTTGTTTCCAAATTGCGCAGGTCTAATATTATATATCCTAACTCTTCTCTTTAATCTCCTCATGTAGAAATTAGAAAGATACAGTAACCTAGCTATTTGTAGAAGAATACTCTCTATGCTTATAGGGTGACAAGAGGGTAGGAATCCTTGTATCACATATCTTAATCCAGGGTTTTGGAGAATGAATCGATAAAGATGGTCACTAATTAAATTACAAACCAGAATACTAAGCTTCTTTCCCAAAATTACCACAGAATTTAGAATTAAATGACTTATCAATGAAGGATGATGATAATTGCACTCCAAATATGGGGAGGAGGAATGAGCCTACACTCTTCTAGATGAAGACTAGTTTCGTATACCATTAAACAGTTCCAATGAAAAATGTTATATTTTCCTGCAAGCAAAAACACAAAAACTGATCATATGTTTTGATCTATAGAAGCTTAAATCAGTGCAGGATATCCATCTGTCGCTAGGGACTGTCTGTCTTGTGTTGGCGGCCCGCAATTAAGAGTAGAAACCTCAAAGACGAAAAGAGCCCTGACATGACTTAAGAAAAGAAAAGGAGATAGCACCAGAGTAAAAAAAAACAACCCAATACCTGAAACATTTGCACTCCTTACTTGTTCATTAAAATTGTAGAAATGGAATTAAAATAGAAGCAGCCTACATTAATTACCTCAAAAACTAGAATTAAAGGACTTATCAATGGTGGATGATGATGAATTGCACTCCAAACATGGGGAGGAGAAGGAATGAGCCTACAATCTTTCAGATGAAGAGTAGTTTTGTATACCATTAAAAAGTTCAAATGGAAAATGAAGATGCTCATTCTTTGGGTGTGTGACAGTAAGCGGCCCCCAAGCGCTCCTAATGCAGTTGCTTTAGTTTTCTCTAGCAACTCAATCTCACGAAAGTCTTCAGTGGTGATATCAAAAGCCAAGATGAAAGGTGGTGTTTCATACAAGTAAGCCCGATATGCCACACAATGGATCCCACTGCCAACAAGCACCGCTCATCTAGTGCGAAACCAATCTTTAGGGATGAAAGGCGAAGTGGAGTAGTAGTTTGAGGGCTTGTCCAGGCATTATTTCTCAAGCTAAAGACTTTGATCTCATGTCCGTTAGGACCATTTTGTCTTCTTCTAGAGTAAAATCCCATGATTAACACTACTTTGTAATCATCACTCACAGAATCATATCCAAACCCATGTAGAACAAACTTTTGAGCTTTGGGATAAGACTTTGAGATCATAAACATAGCTCTGGGAGTAATGACCTGGAATTCAGAAATAGATTTCCTACAGAGAATCATATCCAAATGCTGATGTATAGCTATCGTGGAGAAGAAGATGTGCCACTCCGGAAGGTGAGGAGAACCCCCATCTTCTTGATTGGGCTGCAACAGTGTTAATTACCAGATGTTTCTATTTTGTGTTTATTTGCTCAATTTCTGTGTCTGGTGGGTTTTGTTATGTTCTCATCTGTTTTGTTTCATATTTGCTTAAGAAACCTATGTGGATGTAATGCTCTCAGTTATGCAGTTTAATATTTGCGAGTTTTTTATGGCCAAAAAAAAGGAGCGAATACGATGAGTCTGTCCAGCCAAGTGTTTCCAAGTATAGAAATTGCTTGGATATTTTCTCCTCAACAGCAGACACACAATTCAAAAATTTTTAGGTAATTTTCTGCATAATATGCCTTTGATTCCATGATTCCATCTCTTTTCTTTAAAACCCTAGTAATTTCGTGCCCAAATTACTTTTGTTCAATATCAGAAACTTATAGGCAACGGTTAAGTTTCACAACAGGTCAGTTACTAGAATACGGTTAATGTTCTCCATACATCCCACAGCATAATTCCTCTGGCCGAACAAACTGTATGTTACTGGTCTTTGTCTTTGTAACCTGCACAGAAATGTCTAGTTTTACCAGCTAAAGAAAATAGTTCTTAAATGAATAATCTTCTTGATTCAACTAAATTGTTGTTAAATAAATATGAAATCAGTTTCTGTGCTTTCCATGTCAAATAATACACTAACTTTTTGCTGTAAAATTTTGAAAAGCATTATGGTTGTAATGAGACTGTAAATGCACTGTAGGCTTAGGCTACAAGTTATTAAAACCCATTAATTAACAGCTAAACTAATTCAAATAAAAAAGACTAATTAATTTTTTTAAAGAGAATTTGGGTTAAAGCCCAAAGAAACAAGAGGACCTAACCTGGACCTAAAGCCCAACTCCGGTCCATAAACGTAACCCGAGGCTTGAAAACGAAAGAAACAGATCAAACGTCCTTTATTTATTTATATATTTATTTTTTTGAGAATTTTCCAGATCCTGAAGAGCAAGTACAGGTTTATGTAACAAAATTATTGAGAAAACTATAAATAAAAACACTGAATGATAAATAGAAAATGATTTAAGGATAATTCGTATAATATTTTTATAATTTTATGTATTATTTAAATAATTAATTTTTTTATTTATTTAAAATTTATAATATTAAATATATATTTATTTAATATCATATTAAAATTATATACAAAATAATATAAAATCCAATATAAATTTTACCAAAATCAAAGTAAACTACCGTTCGATAAATTTAGATCAGACGGTGCTTGCCTTTGCGTATTAAGGACGCTGCCTCACAAAACCACCTGGTATCGAGGGATACACGCGAGAATTATGGGCGCAGGCGCAAAGTACGGAACAGTGGCGGGGGATAACGATTCGCGTGAATGTGGGAAAAAGGCGTTTAGAGTTCTGCTACTATTCTCTTATTTCGTCAATTTTGGTCCTCTAACTTTGAATTCGTGCAAACAAGTCATTTTTTATTCTTTTTCTTTTTCTTCTACTCTTTTCTTTACTTTGTAATTGCAACCTCGTCTTCAAATAAGAGAAAATAAAAGTATTAAGAAAAATAAAACAATTTAGGACTGGTTCATTTTCTATAATTAAAATAATTAATAAATTGTAATAAATTAATTTTTTTAATTACACATGTAAGTTTGTTCAAGTAGGATGAATTAATTGTCTGATTATATTATATAATATTAATTTTTTGTTAAAATAATATTTGTGTGTTAATTTTATCCATATTGGTGATGATATGGAATCTTATCATAATTTTTCAATTGTGGTACTTATGTGAAAACTACTTCTCTGGTATTTAAACATAAAAATGAGTTCGATAAATAAGTTTTTTTATTTAAAAATAATTTTTATTTTTTAATATTTAAATTAACAATTTAAGAATAATTTATATGATTACTTTTATTACTTTTAAAACTCAATTTTGATTTAAAAATATATTATTTGAGTTTTTTCAATAAAAATTTATTAAAACAATATAGTATTAAGATATTTCCTCTTAATTTTTTTAAAAATCTAACTGATAAACGCATAAAACAAAATAAATAAATAAATATGTAATATTAAATAATTAGTTTATAAATATTTTAATATATTTAAAAAAAATTTTAATGCTCCATGATAAAAATTTGTGAAACTAAAATGGCTTCAATCAAATTTAATTTATTTGATTTAAAATATAAGTAATTTTAAGGATCAAACTAAAAAAAATTTCATACAAATGAAATAAAAAATAATTATTACAAAACAGTTTTAAACAGAAAAAGATAAAAAAAATTTACATACAAATAGAAAAAGATATAAAATAAAATGTATGTACAAAATAGATAAATATTTTATAAAAATTACATTAATTATCACTATTTAACTTAAAATATTTAAAATACTTTTAAAAATCAAAGTATTTACAACTATAACAAAAAATATATATGTATATATTTACAAAATACACTAATTTTTTTCTCTTTTTTTTTTTTCTGCTGAATCACCATCACCGGTTCACTAAAAGAAATAGTACAAAGTGAGGAAAATGATAATTAAAGGTAAAAGAGTAATCGTTATTTTTCGGTTATCGGTTTACATCTATTTTCCCTTAATATTTATGCAACTGTCAGCAAGGGAGGGGGCAAAGTGTTGAAGAGTGTTTATGGCCGAGTGCCCCTAGCACTGCTCATTTTGGGAGGCTAATTTCTGGGTTTTCCCCTCCTTTTGGGCTTACTGGGAAACGAAAAAGGAGAACAGGAAAGAAGCTAACGGATAAAAGAGGGAAGCCCTAAGCAACTTTAGTAGCGATGTTAATTTGCTTCGACCCTCATTGGCCTCGTGGGGATGCCATCACGGGGATGAAATGAGAAGGAATACTCCTCTTCACCAGGTGTGGATGAAGAGCACTTTTTTTCTATAAAATTTTACGGGGAATTTTTTTTACTCCCCAAGACCCGTGGAATCTCTATCCCCACAAAAAAATAAAAAATATATATAAATTAACTCAAATTTAATCTTAAAAAAATTAATCTTAACCCAATTTACCGACCCGTCCAACTCAGCCCATAAAAATTAACCCAACGTATATTGTTTTCTTTGTCTTTTTCTCTTCTCTTTTTCTTCCTCTCTCAAACCCTGATCTGGGTTTGTTTCTGCCCTTGAGAGTCCGTCCTATCCCTTCATGAACCGAAAATGATGGTCTTCTCCTCTGCGCCAGGTACTTGTGCGGTGGAACCCGCCCGTCGTGATCCTCGTCTCCATCGTCGACGTTGTCTCCATCGTCAGCGTTGTCTCTGTTTTTGTGATCCTTGTACTCCCTTTTCAAAATCAGTTCAGCACGTTCACCAACACCAATGACGCCACCACCTGGCCGCTCAAATCACCGACTCTGGTAAGTTTCTTGGACGAACGCAAAGTGGGTAATTGTTGTTTAAACAACAAAGTTGAATTTAAGCAAATATACTAAACAACAAAGCCATGGCTCTCTCTGAATCCTCTAAGTAATCCCTAATCCCCGCATTCCTCTACTCCTCTCCCAACTCCCTCTCTTTCGATCGTGTCCTCAACACCAACCCTGTTAAGAAATATTAAATAACAGAAGAATAAAAAAATTGTTTTGAGGCATGATTTCACTTTCCTTAAGGATTAAAATCTTCCAGGATACAACAGAACTCAAAACTCTCTCAGAATTAGACATAGAACTCTGACATTGCATAGAAATTTATAATACTTGAAAAGTCACTATTTGAAAGGATGTATCCTTCAAAGACATCATTTCATAGAAGTACCTTTTGACTGCCAATAGTCATGTTTGATTTTTAAACATATCTTTTCAAATTATAATTTAATAAAATAAAATAAAAAAATCCTAAAATAATAAAAAAATTAAATATGTTCTCACAGTCAAGCCCAAGGTGCCAAAGTGCCCATCTTTTGATTATATATAAAAAGCCAAAGCCCAATTTTCCTTGTGTTTCACTTTGCTTAATTATTTATCGATAAAAAAATAAATATTTATAAACTCTTTTAAATTCTCATACTTTATTGATGTGGGATCTCAAACATTTACAAACTATTCAACAAACCCTACTTTCGCTGCTCCAACCTTTACCGTCGCAACTGCTCTTGATGGACGTGCTTCTGGTTCACCGTCAATCAATACAAGGAGCTTTGCCATCCCTTCGCCTAACGAGTCTGGGAAGAAGATCGAGATATACTCGCTTGCATTCTACACGGCTTGTACTTTTGGAGGAATCCTCAGCTGCGGTCTAATTCACATGGCCATCACTCTTCTTGACCTCGTCAAGTGCAGTATGCAGGTATAGATCTAGTTTCATTCTTTTGCTTATTTTGCATTTTCTATGTGTATTTTCTAAGTTGATTCGATGGTTTTAGTGTTGATTATTTTTGAGATTAGATCTGCAGTTGGCTTGTATGTGATTTGGCTGGAATCGCTTCTTTTCTAGAAATTCTTTACTCTTTTTAATCTATGTTCCTTTCTATTGGTTGGGTTAGGAGATCTCGGCTTTGTTGTTTAGTATATTCGAGATTAGTTTCCATGTTATGTGATGAAACACATATCTGGATTTGAGAAAAACCTAGATCTGGGTTTGAGAGAGGAAGAAGAAGAGAGAAGAGAGAAAGACAAAGAATAAGAAGATGAAAGAAGAAGGATGAGCAGGGAAAGGTAGGAGGAAAGGAGGAAGAAGATGAAGTTTGAGAGAGAACCTAGATCTGAGTTTGCAGAGGTAGGGGGAAAAGGAAAGGTAAAGGAGAGAGAAAATGAAAGAGAAAGCAGAAATGACGTGGATGAAAAAAAAAGATGTCAAAAATTTTAAATTAAATAAAAATGTCAACACATAAAAAAGGATGGCCAACTAAACTTTTTTTTTTCCATGTCATTAGTTAAGCAAAAAAGTAATTGATTTGCTGGCAAGTGCCACCTGTTATTTAACTTGGTATCGAAAAAATGAAAATTTAAGGATAAATTTAGTATTTTTTAAAGTTAAAGGATAATTTTGTGCCAAATTGAAAAGTTGAGGGACCAAAATGTTACTTAAACCTTTTGTAATATCAGTACAAATTATTGAAATGAAAATGTTGATTTCATCCTAGATCTAAGGTTGATTTCTTTCTGTTGAGTATTGCCTGAGATTTGTTGGTTTTTCAAGTGCACTGTCAGGTGTAAATTTGTGATTTGTTGATTGATTTGCCTTTTTTTGGGGGGTTTTCTGCATTGTTCTGATTTTTTATTGAGTTGCTGGAAACTGCGTTTTTTGGTCGGAATCTTGCGGGATTCCGGCCAGTCCTCAGTACTGTGTAGACTTTCGGCTGGAAACTGGTTTATTATCTCTTGTGGACCGAAAATTTGAAGCTGGGTGATGTTGCCGATCTTTCTGGGTCCTAAACGTCTTTTTTTTTTTTTTAATTTTATTGTTGGAATATTGAAATTTAACTGGAACTCGACCAGAATCCAGCCATGCCAAAACCTGTTAAAATTCCCTGTTTAATCCATTTTGACCTGGTTTCTCATCGGGTTATGTTTGTCGGGTTAAATTCCCTTTTTTGTCTCTTTTGTCAAAAATGAAAACTCATTCTCTCCTATTTGTATATTGTGCAGTTATTTGTTCCATACAAACATGAAGAGAAAAAAAAAAAAAGGAAGATGAAAAGTTTTGAATTGACAGAATTGGGAAAAAAAGGTAATATGAATTTTTTTTTTTAATTTGGTTTAATTTTTGAGATGTGTGTTTTATTTGTTTATTTATTTAGACTCTCCATCATGGTTAGCCTTGTCTAATTGGCTATTGAAGATATGTATATTCAATGTTACTCTGCAAAATATGGTTAAAATCTGTCACACCAAGATTCTGATGCCATTGTCATCTTCCTATAAGCTCAGGGAATATCCGTCCTTAAATGGTTTACTCTATATTTCGTATTTGTGCTGAAGGAATTTGAATTTGAAGACAAGGATCAGGGTTTATGATGTTAGACCGATCCAATTTGGTAACGAAGTGCTCTTCTTCAGGACATCCTGTTGCCAAATTTTTTTAAGTTTGGTAAGTCTTATTCTGATGATGTTGGAGTTCCCAAGGCTTATCTGGTTGTATCGTCAGATTACTTTGCTACGTCTGAAGAGATTGCAGCACTTTCAGCTATAACGTGGCAAAGGTTGCACTGCAGCTTATCCAACCGTGGATTTAATGAATGTTGATTTGGATGATGACATACATATAATCAACTGTATAAGATTGTGAGTTCCTTTTGTCCTTACTTAAGTTCATTTGTTATAGATTTATCTGTTACTAATTTAATTTGTATA